ACACGCCAAGTCCAAGATAAAACAGAGTAATTTAAAACAGGCCTAGTTATCCGATTAGCAGGTCACCTCCTATTTGCGTTACCCAGCTGTGGAGCATTTTCAATTACTTTGCCTTTAAAATCGAATCTCCAATTTTTAAGGGAGTAACAGTAACCACGTAGGCCGGCAGGTGTAGGGAAAGAACGGGCTTTAACAGAAATGGCTCTCTGAAGACAAAACACACCATTCAGCAATGCTACCCAGTATGACAAAATGACAGAAACCGATTCCTATTTTGTAGTTTCTTACAAGTAGCATGTAATAACCACAAACCAAGCGGGTAAAGAATAATCCACAAGAAGCACTTGGGAACTGCAACATCTACCAACAGACTATGGTATCCTGATCATCACTGTGAAAATTGGAATTCCAGTCTCTATTTCTAAAGTTAAAATAGAAGTGGGGGCAGGTCTCTCTACTGAGAACGAAACAGGTTGTTCTGCCATATGGTCAGTTCCACTGGGTATCTGCTTCCTAGTACATTCTCAACTATTTGTCATATGGGGCTTGGGGTGGCTGGGGACACAGCTCTAAATGACATAGAGTGAATAGCACAGAGGAAAGGAGGCTGCAAATGAGACAGGAGAGTAGTCCTGGGAGCTGAGGAGTTGACAGGAGAGCAATGCAGATCTGGAGAGGAAGCAGAGGCAGACGCTCTGTAGACACCAAAGGAGACCCAAAGAACAAGCAAGAGGCAGCTACAGAGGACAAGAGTTCCAGACACAAGAGCATGAGCTAAGACCAAGCCACCAAGCCAGGTAACTACAGGAGCTTCATCTTTCTGGAACCGTGGGAGTAACACAAACAAAAGACTAGGAGGGATGAGGCCACGTGCAACAGCCAGACCATGACACACCTGCAACCATTCACTCCACCCTGGAGACAAAGTCACTGACTGGCTAGACCGCCATGGTCAGACACTGCACTAGGAAGCCCACTCTGGCAAAGAACTTAGATGGAATCTCACAAAGCACATAAAGGAACTCTAATCTTGGAAATCACCCCTGCCCCCAAAAAACTAAACTGACTACTAAAAACACTCAGCTGTTTTCAAAGTAACACATTTACTTGGATCTTAGAAGAAAATGGTAAGAATCCATGCTTGCAGTAATTTGAAAATGTAGCACAATCAAGACATGGCTATGTGATCTCAGGCAAACCTGGCTTCCTATAAGGAAATGAGACCCAATCCTTATTTCTCTCCACACTCTCACCTTCTAGCCTCGCCTCTAGCTGATGCCAGCTCAGTCTTTGTTGCTTATTTAGAGACCAAACTAGGTTTGCTCAGCAAAATGAGATTTTGCCATCAACTGAAGGAAACTCTGACAAGTGAGCCAAATAACTGAAAAATTAATGCTAACAGATGAGAACCAGCTCTGATGCCAGGGTCAACCAAAATTAATCTTAGATGCTTTGCCAATGGCCATTAAACAGCAAGAATGTCAGCAAGCAGTATTCTAAATTAGAAAGGCAAAGTGCCTACAAGGACAAGGAGTAAACATGATCATCACAACAACCATTAGACTCGGGCACTTCTCTAAATTAGCCTCTTAAAAATAAATTATTCCATTAAGCAGAAAATACAAGGATTAAAGTGTCAAACATCTAGCGAAATCAAAATGCAGTGAAAACTACCGGCACATGGCCAAGTTCCAGAAGCTTAACTGTTCAGAAAAAAAGCACTTGCTTCCAACTTGAAGCAGAACTTTTATCTGAAAATGTAATGTGGAAAAGCGGGGAAGGGACAGTTGAGGAGAGGGCTCAGCAGTGAAGGGCGCCTGCTGCTCTTGCAGAGGACATGGGTTTGATGCCCAACACCCACAAAGAGGCTCACCACAATCTGTAACTCCAGTTCCAGGGGATCGAATACTCTCTTCTGGCTCTAAGGGCACCAATGCAGGCAAAACATACATTCACATAAAAGTAAGTAAATCTTTTTTAAAAAGTGCTTCTTTCTTTTAGATGAATTGTTAAAACCAACTTTTAAAATAATCAAGACGGGCCAGGCGGTGGTGGCGCATGCCTTTAATACCAGCACTCGGGAGGCAGAGGCAGGCGGATCTCTGTGAGTTCGAGGCCAGCCTGGGCTACCAAGTGAGTTCCAGGAAAGGTGCAAAGCTACACAGAGAAACCCTGTCTCGAAAAATAAAAAATAAAAATAAAAAAAAAAATCAAGACGGGGGTGGGTGTGGGTGTTACTGGTAAGATGGCTCAGAGGTTAAGAGTACTTGTTTATCTTGCAGAGGACCTGGGTTCAATTCCCAGAACCCACATGGTGACCCACAGTCATCCATAATTCTAGATCCAGGGGATATAATACTCTTCTGACCTCTGCAAGCACCTGGTACACATGTGTTGTACACACATACATGCAAACAAAACATTCTTACACATAAAGTAAAAATTAAATCCAAAAAATAATTTCAAAAAAATCAAGATGGCATTTGTAAGCAATAAGTCACAAAAATATACAACAAAATAAATAACTACATTTCTAAAGATTAAAATATATACATTTCCAAGAATATTTAGAAATAGAGGCATTTATCACTACTCTAATTCCTACAAGATCATGTTGAAATCTTAGAAAACAATAGCATTACAGTTATTAGGGGAAGCATCAATCCCTTCCCTGATGGGCATGGATGCATTATACGATTTTCTTCAATTAGAGAATCTCAGCTTCCCATACTTTCTGAAAATAACTAAATTAATATTTTAAGCTTGCTTTGAATACTTGTGATTCTCACACTTGCTTAATGTTCTAAAAACCTCCAACGTTTTCTGTCTAAAGAACCACTACTTCATCTGCAGAGACAGCGTGGCGGTAAAGAGTGCTGGCTGCTCCTCCAGGAAACGGGGCTTTGATTCCCAGCATGCACATGGTGGCTTAGGACTGTCTCTAACTCCACTTCCAGGGGGAATCTGATACACTCTTCTGGCCTCTACACACTCTGGATATATACACGGTACACAGATACACATGCAAGCAAAACACCTACTCACATAAAAGAATAAAGGTCATTTTAAAAATACCACCATTTCAAAGGTAACGATATTTCCTATAGTCATTACTTATTTCTTAACCAATGTAAAAGAATTACACAGTAAGGAATGATGAGACGGGAGCTGCATGGGACTGGAAACTAAGACATTCATTCTCCCATTCGTTCCTTCTTTAAACAAGCATTTGAGACAACAGATGCTAAAAAATAGTTAAGTTTTGAGCCAGGCAGTGGTGGCGCACACCTTTGATCCCAGGACACAGGAGGCAGAGGCAGGTGGATCTCAGTGAGTTCGAGGCCAGCCTGGTCCACAAAGCAGAGCCAGGACTGTCTCAAAAAAATCCAAAAAAACCCCAAAACAAAACAAAATCTAAGTTTTTGAAGGAACACAGTTCTATATTTCATCAAATTTGAGATGTTATCAATCATAAGACAAATTCTTAATAAAAGAGAAAAATGCTTTGATCATGACCTAATGCTCTGAGTAATTCACACTAGCCTCTGGTTACTTTGATTATTTTTTCCCTAATCTATTCAGTAAAGTTTGACAATTATTTCTGCCTTCAGAACATTGGTGGGTATTTTCTATGGCAATCTGTTTATATAGCTTAGTATAAAACAAAGCTTTGTCAACTTTTGAATTTTTTGTTTGTTTGTTTTGTTTTGTTTTGTCTGAAACAGGCTCTTACTATGTAGCCCAGGCCAGCCTCAAACTCACAGAGATCCACCTGCTTCTGCCTCCTGAGTGCTGGGATTAAAGGCGTGCACCACCACCGCCCCAGCACATAGCAATTATTCTTACCTGTAGAGCCAATAAGCCAGCTCCATCTTAAATTCTTTTATCTGCAAGACTAAAAACCTATGAAAGGGACCTTGAATCTCCGGGACACTGCCGGTCTCTCCCCACACTGGACTGCGTAGAGCTTCGCCGTCATTGACCAGTTCATGAAAGACACGTAAATGTCACAGCGCTTCTAACTGTCACACTTAGGAAGAGAGAGAAGAAAACCGTGCCCTCGAAGCACTGTTTCTCATCTCCATAACAACAGAAAGGGTAAAGATGAGAGTGGAGACCAACCTGAGGACTGTACTCTGCTGTGTGCTCTGCTCAGTCATGGAAAGTACAATTGGCATTAGCGAGCAGGGCTGCAGAGCTGACTCAGCAGCTAAACACACGTGCTGCTCTTGCAGAGGACCTCAGCTCAGTTCCCAGCAGCCACACAGTGGCTCACGACGCCTGTACCTCCAGTTCCAGAGGATCCGACACCCTCTTCTGGACTCTGTGTGCACCGAGCACACACACAGTGCACATACATATGTACAGGCAAAACACCCCTACACATAAAATAAAACTAAATTGTTTTAATTAACATATGATTTCAATGTATCCAGTTTTATGGCTACTCACAGTGTAGAGACACAAGTCTCAAAATATGGTTCAAATATGAGAAAAAGAGACAACAGATTTATAACAGATGCAAACATTCCAGCATTTTCTCTCTTGACCCAATTTAAGAGTGGAATTAAACACGTATCACACACTTCATAAGGCTCCTGCCTCATCAGGGCTCACATAGCCTTTCCCTAGGTAACTCCCTCATGTCCACAGCCTCTAACCATCAGGTACCCCAAAGACAATTAAAATTAATTCCTGATATTTTACTTCAAAGCTGACCTATAGAAGAATCAACAGGAAAATAGATCAAAACATTCAGTGCCTTCAAAGTTTTTATTATTCTTTCTTAAATGCCAAACATCGTACCAACTCCAGGCTGCTTTTCTCTTTTATGGACACATAAAATAAGCTGCCCAATATAAATCAGAGAAAGCACTAAGAAGTCTTTAATGAAAGAAGGAATGGGAGTAAATACTGTCAGAAGCGGGCTTTCTCAAGAGCAATGGAGACGTGTGGAAGGAAGAAGGGGCCCACCATTCACAGACGTGATTGTTACCTACCTTCCCATGCTGCCCAGCCCTTTCGTAACAGATGACCGCGTCTTCCCACATCTCCAGCTTCTCAAATATCTGAAGGGCTGAAGTGGTGCACCCCAACTCAAAGAGCAAACCTGCAAGCTGGCGCTAGAAAAACAAATGAAAGTCATCAACACTCCTCAACAGGAAGCAAATCCATTCTGCTTTCCTGGATCTCCAGCCTGCCTTTTAAAGGGCTGCTTATTGTAACACATGCATACATCATTTATGGAATTCAGCCTCTACTGTCTAGGAATCTGTGAGAACCACACTACTTCAGCAAATACGGGTGATGAAGTACTGATCAAAATACTTAACACATCAAATTTTTAAGAACTCGGAACTCAAAAAACCAAATCAATTATTTCCTTCTTATCTAAAGATTCCTTCCATGAGAAGCTCTGATTTGTAAAGGTCAGATCCAATAAACCAGTGTTTAAAGCTCCAAGGAAGCAATGCAGACACCATTAAAGTCTCTGTGCTTCATCCTTGGGAATTTACACATGAGGGCATCCCAGGCTCTGTCTCAAGCAGTCCTACTTATTTTAGACACAGTCTAGTAATCTACGTCACCTAATTCCCCAGCCCCTGGAATATCAAGATGAGCGAGCAAAGCAGGTAAGGGCCAGTAAACAATGTACTCAACATTACGAGAAAATAAAGGAGATGATGTTTTGAATAAGGTCTGGTTTCATGTCATTGGTAACCGCGTTGTTTTCTCTTTTGAATACATCTTTACTGCTCTTTGAAACTCAGCTCACACGGAAGAATTAAAAAGCTTAATGGAAGCTAGACATGAGGTGTGAGCCTTTAATCTCAATGCTGGGGGGCAGAGGCAAGTGGATCTCTGTGTGCTGGCGGCCAACCTGGTCTTCACATAGTAAGTTTCAGGGTAGGCAGGGACATACAGTGAGACCTCGTCTCAAAAAAGAGAAGCCAACAGGGCTTACAAATATTTCTATGTACCACAAAATATAGGAGAATTTGGCAATTTCAGAGCACTGGCTGAATCTTTTCTGAAACTAGATACAGGCTACTTCAATATCTTTAATTAAGTACTTTAATTAAGTACTTCAATATCTTTATTAAAAGGTGGAGACTACGAGCCAGGATGATATAGCTGGACCGAGGGAAAGACTTTCTTACAATAAAGTAACACATAAAGATATGGCTAGTCACTATGATGAAAAGAAAAGGGGCGATTTAATTTCATGAAAACTGATCTACATTTTCTCAAACTGCCTAAGGACTCTGAAATCATAGCTTCCTAAGCAGACAAACAACTGTCTAAAGTCTCTCTGGACAGCAGTTGGGTTTCCCAGTAGTCCATTCAGAACAACAACAGCCACACTCTTGGCTGGAGAGAGAGCTCAGGTGGTAAAGGCTCAGGCTCTAACCAAAGGACAGAAGCTACACGCTCAACAGACACGCTTTCTTCTAACAATAGCTCAGAATCTCAACTGCTGACCAGACACAAACCACACAGGACAAGGCATTCACAAATCCACAGACTGGGGTCAGTGTGTACCAAAGGCCCCAGCTGTTACCTTCTGCTGGATAAAGAAGCTGCTCCTGAGTTACAGCATCCAAAGTGAAATAAATGAACCTCCGAGTTGAAGGAATCTCCTAACAGGGCTTCTGGCCACTGCACACTAGACAGCTTCTCTAATTCTAATTCCTCTTGTGTGTAAAACACACAGTGATAGGTCAAGAAGCTGACTAAAATGCCGTCACTAATCATCTAGACACCTCTGGCTACATCATTTAATCTATGTGCTACAGTGCCCCATCTCTAAAATCTGGGACATTTGATAACATTAGTGCGATAAGATAACTGGAAACTGCAGAACAAAATGTATGTATCCTGCTAAGTGAGCCTTTAATCCCAGCACTTGAAAGGCAGAGGCAGGCAAAGCTGTGTGCATTTCAGGCTTGCTGGGACTACAGACTAGGATTCAGTCTCAAATGGGGGAAAAAGGTAAGAGAAGGTAAGCTATATTAAATGTCAAGACACCGGGAGCTAGTTCTTGTGCAAAGTTCACTGCACTGGGGGCTCAATTTTCTTTTCCATCAAGTAAGAAACAACTAGGGGGAGCAGATCTATAATCCAAGAGAATCATGGGGACAAAAGGCCAGCATGCCAACTCAGTCTGGTATAGATGGATGAATCTCTCCCACCCGCCAGTTCACAAATACCTGGCAGCTGCTGCCTAAATAAATGACTTAGAGGCTTAATATAAACTATAAATGCTCAGCCAATAGCTCAGGCTTGTTACTAGGCAACTATTACACTTAAATTAACCCATAATTCTTGCCTATGTTTAGTTTAGCCACATGGCTTGGTACCTTTTCTCAGTCCAACATTCTCATCTAACTCTCTCTGCCTCTGGCTGGTGACTCCATCTCTGCCTTTCATCTTCCCAGCCTTTTCCTAGTCTGGTCACCCAGCCTACACTTCCTGCCTGGCTACTGGCCAATCAGCATATTAAACCAACAGAAGTGACAGATCTTTACAGTGTAGAAGAGCATTATCCCATAGCAGCTTGGGGCTTTAGGAGCTCCCCCAGTCACCCTGCACCCTGGAAAGAGAACAGTCAGGGGTATCTCAAAACATAACGTATCAAATAAATGCTTTCCTTTTGTTTTTTTTTTTTTTTTATAAACACCATTAAAAGGTTCAAAGGTTTATTGTTTGGTAGAAAGTCTCTGAAGACATTTGAATATAAAATGCTGGGGCTTGAAAGATGGCTCAGCAGTTAAGAGCACTTTCTCCTCTTCCAAGGACAGGAGGGTTCAGTCCCCTGCATAATGTCAACCAGCTCACATTTGTACTCCATGGTCATACTCTCTCTCTCTCTCTCTCTCTCTCTCTCTCTCTCTCTCTCTCTCTCTCTCTTTCTCTCTCTCTCTCTCACACACACACACACACACACACACACACACACAATAAAAATAAAAGTAAATCTTTTAAAAGCTAATAGAAAATGTCCTTTTGAAAAGGAAGCCCAAATCCATTCTTGTCTAGTGCATTCTCTCTCCTCCCACGCTTCCTCCCTCTCTCCACACCTATGCTTAAATCTGTATGAAAACCTTTCCTTAATAAACTCCAATTCATGAAAAGGAAAACAAAAGCATTTATGATTCTCCTATCTTAATTTCTAGGATTCTACCTACTACCAATTTAAAACCATTTCAAAACTTTTTAAATCCATTACCACTTTAATCAAAACGGCAATTTGAAACAATTGAAAATCCCCAACTGCTTTTATTCATTTCAATGAAATATTTAAAAATTCAATAGTTATACTTAAGTCAACCCTTTCTAACATATTTTCTTCTCTGACTCCGAGCATTTTTCACACAAAGACAAACAGAAGTACCTGGACAGCCCAGTGCGGGGGCACTTGACAGCAATAGAAGATCTTCAGACGTTCCAGCACAGGTGTAGTTTTATCTTCAAACTGGTCTGCAAGAGCCTGAAGAACACACAATAATCACAATCTGTAGGTAGAGTCATTTTAATGTAAATGAAGTTCCTACATAAAAATTAATATAAATAAAGAACTCAAGTCATTTTGTCAAGGCCAACGGAGATGTATGAAGTTTCTTTTCAGTTTAAGTATTTTAAAATTGAAATTTAATCAATAGTTCTATAAACACGCACACATAGATATTACCAGGAAACTTTTTAAACTAAAATTTCCCATAATAAAGCTTTCAAAGAACTAACCTTCTTATTAAAAATTTTCATTTTTTTCTATGAAAAATTGTTCTTTATTGTATTTACCTCCACCATGATGCGATTTTGACAATGTCACTCTCCAATGTCAATGAGAGAGTAACTATATGAGAAACTTGGGAGTTTTTTCTTAGGAATTAAGTAATGAGAAAAAGCAGGTCTATCCAATTACAAACAAGTAGTCTTGAGAGGTCTAAATTTCCTCCATTTTACAAGCTGGTCTAAGTTTCAGTGTCTTACACAATGGGCTATTAATCAACAACACCCCTGACAGCAGGACAAGGGAGAAGAAACATACAAGGCCTGAGTCACCCCACAGTATCTCAAAGCAATGTCCAAATGAGGACAGTTCCCGCAACCCCCTCGAAACTTACCCAAGTATGTCCAAAGTTAAAAAAACTAAAACCTCAGCCTATCAAAAATGCATTAATATAACTGCTGCCTGTTTAGCCAATTATGTTTGAGATGACCTAACTGTTCCTAAAATTCCCCTAGCCATGCTTAAAAGGACCTGCACACCTTTGTCCTGGGTCACCATTTTTGTACAGATGGCCAATCCTGCATGCTGGTAAATAAACGTTCCTTGCTCTTGCCTACCATTTGAGTCTGGGGTCTTCTTCAATGTTTTCTTGGACTCCTAAACTCTCATTCCTCAGTAAAAGAGATATAAGGATGGGCATCCATTCATGTAAGACCATCTGTATGGTGCAGCGGGTGGCTGCAAGCTATGTAACTGAATTCCTGTGATGTCCTGAAATTCCCAACCTAGTAATGAAAAACAGCTCCCTGAGACTACACCAAGAAGCAGATGAGATGACCAGGATGGCTCTCTGAAAACAGGAACCCAGGCCAACTGCAGAGTCAAAAGCTGGCACTATCTAGTAATCAAGTGACTAGTCATCAAAAAAGCTCCCATACAAAATGTCAACGTCAATACAGACATAGTCTAGAATCCCAGACAAACACATGACAGCCCCATCACCACAGCCATCTGCCTGCCTCTGATGTGTCAGATTTGTACTAACTACAGGCTTTTTCTGGTGTCAGACCCTGTTTTTTTCTTCTTGGTGGAGAAGTGGGGCTTCATGATAGGGTTTCTCTGTGTAGCACTGGCTGTCCTGGAATTCACTTTCTAGACCAGGCTGTTCTCGAACTCAGAGATTCATTTGCCTCTGCCTCCTGAGTACAGGGATTAAAGGGGTGCACTACCATGCCAGGCTTGGTATCAGAATTTCAATTGTGAATTATTGTTAGCTTTTTTCCCCACAATGATCGAGTTATTATTAACCCACCTTTCTTAATTTTCCAATTCTAACATAGAAAAAGCTGTTGTGTAGGATAACGCCTTTCCTGTACTTGAGGAGGGCAAGGCACCATGTGCCACACTCTCTCACACATCAGGATATGGAAGGTTGTTATACTGGTGTCTACTTCCAAGTTGTTTCAATTATTTACAAAATTAAAAATAAATTAAAGATCAACAATAAACTTCCTGAGAAGAAAGATAAGGACAGGAATCTAACACATCCTGACAAAATCCTCCACGGTTTGATGTGAAATGTCCCCCAAAGGCGCGAGGGTCTGAACACTTGGTCCCCAGCTGCCGAGTGCAATATTGGGAGGCTGCAGAACCTTTGAGTCAAGAGCTCTAGCGGGCAACAGCAGGCCACACCTGCCTTTAACTCTGATCTAGAATTCTCTGCATCCTTGTTGGCCAATGTGACAGCCATGCTGCCTCACGCTCCCACCAACACGGACCGAGCTGCCCTCACCAGGCCTTCCCTGCCTTGATGAACTAAAATCTCCCAAACTGTGAGACAAAATAAATCCCGAGTTGCTGTTGTCGGGTATTTTACTACAGAGATGAGAACTGTAAGCAATGCAGCGCTAACCACAGAAGGCCAGTTCCTAAGGACAGAGCAGCTCTGAAACCGGTTCTCTGCCATGTGCAAGGGAAGAGATCCGCTTGTTGGTTCAGCATCTCAGAGAGCGAGTTCACGTGTTGGAACAAACGCAGTAGCACACATCACTTCTTGGGCAGCCCAAGAGTCTATTCAATCAAAGTCAGTCCGAACAAATTGAGACATAACCACACTCCTCAACCATCCTGACAGAGCTTCCTGGCCTTGCTTCACAGAAACTTAATAGCAAAAAGGTTGCATGCCTCTAGCCAGGGCTATTTCACTGAGGGAGGGAGGGAGGGAGGGAGGCAGGGAGGCAGGGAGGGTAAAGAATGAACAGCAACTTCTGCCTGAAGACATATGGTCACAATACAAAAATAAAGATCACAGAATTCCTTCATGAAAAGAAAGCCTTTTAAAAAAAAAAATCAACATACCACATTTTCAAAAAGAAAAAGAAACTTTTACTTAATAATCTAAAATTTAAAAGTAACATCATACGATTAATTTACTAAGCTCCAGTTACATGTAAAATACTATTTTCAAACAAAATCCATGTTGTTTGATGATATGACGAGGTAACATTAAGCTACTCAGTAAGTAATTCTTGGCTTATTAATCATCAATTTTCTGTGTGCATTTCAGATACTTCTGGGTGACTTGTAGGTATCTGTGTCTGATGTACTCAGTCAGTACTCTCTGAAACAGCAAAGACCACCACATGGAATAGAGCCAATATGCATCACATTGTCTAGAGCAGTGGTTCTCAACCTTCCTAATACTGCAAACCTTCAAAACAGTGCCTCATGTTATGTGACCCCCAACCATAAAATGATTTCATTGCTACTTAATAACAGTAGCAAAGTCATAGTTATAAATCGTAATGTAAATATCTGATGTGCAGAATATCTAATATACAAGCTGTGGGGTCGTGACCCACAGGTTGAGAATCACTGGTGTGAGCTGAATTGGCTCCACACGTGATAAAGATTAATTTAACACCTATCTACTTCTCTCCTACACAGAACATACTTCTTGCTGTCTTAAGCATGACATTTACCTAAGTAAAGCTTAGCTACCAAAATAACTAAAAACATTAAACTAATAGACAAAAAAGGATGGTGGTATACTGCTATTCTCTCCACTGAGCTCAAAGGACTCTCTTTTTATTTGCTAATTTCCAAGCCCATCCTAACCAAATCCTGTCATGGTTCGATGTGCAATGTCCTCCACAGGCCCACAGGTTTGAACACTTGATCTCCAGCTGGTGGTATCACATGGGAAGGGTGGGGGGGGTCTCTGAGCCCAGGGACCTGGCTGGCAGCAGTGGGTGACTAAGCTAATTTCTAGGAAGTTCTGAAGCAATTCTACCATACTCAAACAAACTGGAATCCCCACAGGCACGGTCAATAGGAAAAGCCAGGCTGACGTTTACAATGACCTGAGCTCTCTTCCAGGTCCACCCACAAAGAAGTGATCACGTAACCGCAGAGGCCTTCATCCATGAGAGGATTTTTAAAATACTTTCTGCATTTTCAGCCAATCTACAAGGATGGCTTCCTGAAGAAAGCTTTGGTAGAGTTACTGTTGTTTTAAAATTTTCTTCATTTTTGTAGCTTTATTTTATTTATGTACAAGATGTTTTGCCTTTCGTGTATTTATGTGCACTACTGGTGTGCCTTGTGCCTACAGAGCTCAGAAGGCATCAGAGCCCCTAAAACTAGGGCTCCAGATGGTTGTGATCCATCATGTGGGTGCAAGGAATCAAACCCAGGCCTCCGTAAGAGCAACAGGTGCTCTTAACCACTGAGCCATCCCTCCAGCCCCCAAGAGCTTTGTTTATTTCAGATATTTAAGGTAAGTCGGTTAATTGTTAGCACCAGTCACCAATCACAAGTATCGGTATGTATACTTGCTGGGAGCAAAACCACATGTCCAAAAAGTGGGGTCTTCCCCTTACCCATAGGTAACCGTGACAGATCTCAAACTTCCTGAAATCCTCCCGACTCACCTTCCCAGAGGCTGGGAATACAGATATGTACCAATATACTTGGCTTGTTTTTAAGTCTTAATATTTCCATTTAAGGTCATTTCTCTTAAACTCACGCTAACAGCAAAGTATTTGTGCATATGGAGCTCCCACACCCCCACAATAACAATGCCCACATCCCCAGAAACTAGTTTCATGGGTCAGAGGGTGTCTCTATGGAATGGGCCTAGAAAAATGAAACCCCAGACTGTAAAGAATTGTCTCTTCCGCCGGGCGTTGGTGGCGCACGCCTTTAATCCCAGCACTCGGGAGGCAGAGCCAGGCGGATCTCTGTGAGTTCGAGGCCAGCCTGGGCTACCAAGTGAGCTCCAGGAAAGGCGCAAAGCTACACAGAGAAACCCTGTCTCGAAAAACCAAAAAAAAAAAAAAAAAAAAAAAAGAATTGTCTCTTCCTTTGGTACCATCTTCAGTAAAGACTTTCCCAGAAAAACCTACAGAAGATCAAGACGAAAATTTAACGTTAGCACAGAGAATGATTTAGTACGTAAGCCAACTCTGCACAAGGTCTGGTATGATTTAGACTTGGTGAGCTTGCATCTGAAAGTACGGGCATACATCTTCAAAGGAGCAGTGCTGGTCCCAGGGGGCCCTCCCTGTCACTGAAGCAATCCATTCTCACTAGAAGTATATCAAAGTGTCTGTGGACCTTCTGAAGGCCAAACAGAGACTAGCTGATGATCTGAAAGGGCTGACTGATCACGTACTAGCTCACCTTTGATTTGCTTCTTGTGCGATCTCTATACATGTCTGGGTGTACAGGAGAGGACTTATTTAAAGAATTTAAAATATGTACTTAAACAAATATAGCAACAGCTGGGTTGAAAAGCTATTTTTTGACAGGAGCCTGAAGTCGACAGTGATTTACAAACCGAGCAGTCAAATAGATTGCCGCTTCAGACTCTCAAGGATAATAAAATTCCCCAAGGGACGGAGAAATTAGAATTAAAATTTACTAAGTTTCAACAACATCCTTAAACCTATGCTAAACCAGTACTACATAATAACTAGCCAATGGCACCTGAGAGAAATAAAATCCAGGTCAAAGCCCCAGGACTGTGGAGCAGGCGAACTGACCCGGCAGCTTCTAGTTATTATCTCATCTCTACTCGAACAACCCAGACTGAAATGAAAAGCAGCTTCTTGCAGAAGAAACACAGAGAACTGTATTTGACCATTCTTTACTGCACTCAAAGCCCCTAACACAAGAATCAGGACCTGCCATAGTCAGCAACATGCTCAGCCACTGTACAGGAAGTGTGCTTCCATGTTATTATAATCACTCAATAGTTACCATAGTGAGCTGTATGGAACAAGACTGAAGACTCGTACAGGAGTACTCATAACTACAGCCATCCAAAACTTGACAAAGATGTCAAAGAAACAAACACTGGAGAAAAGGCAGAATCTTCAGCAAACAGTGCTGGGAGGACCGGACATCCACATGAAGAAGAGTGAAATTAGCCTATGTCTATGACCTTGTACAAAAACACTCAAACTACTAGAAGAAAACACGTATAGGAAAAGATTTGCTGGCTAGGACTCCACTTGCCCAGGAATGAAGGCTGGCAGTTGACAAATGGGACCTCGCTAAAATAAAATTCTTCTGCTCAGATAAAGAAACAAGCAAGCAAGCAAAGAGGAAAACCACAGAGAGGGAGAAAATCTTCGCCCGCTATCATACAACAGAATATATAAAGAACTTTAAAAAGCGAACAACTTATTCAAAAATTGGCCTTGGGACCTGAATAAAGTTTTCAAAATAAAGAAACAAAAATAGCTAAGAAATACCTCAAAAAATTGATTCTGATGAGGAAGAGAAAGCTGAATGACAATATAAAAAGCTACACTCTACATTTTTTTTAAAGTAGAGTACAACTACTGTCTTAGTCACTGTTCTATTGTGGTGAAGAGACACCATGACCAAGGCAACTATTAGAAGAGAGAGCATTTACTCAGGGTCTGGCCTACACTTTCAGAGGTTTAGTCCATTATCATCATGGCAGGAAGCACAGCAGCACCCAGGCTGACACTGGAACAAGAGTGGAGAACTACATCCTGATCTGTAGGCAGAGAGAGAGAAAGAGAGAGACTTTGGCCTTGACAGGGGCTTTTGAAACCTCAAAGCCCACCCCCAACGACAAACTTCCTCCAATAAGGCCACACCTCCTAATCCTTCTAATGCTTTCAAACAGTGCCACTTCCTGGTGACTAAGCATCCAAACATGTGACCCTATGAGGGCCATTCTTATTCAAACCACCAGGGTATGGACAGCTGTGATTCCATGATAATATACTCAGCTAAAAACCTTACACATTCCAGTGAACAGGGCCTCCACAAGCACCGACCTGATCCTCACCTACACTCTCAACCTGAATAGGCAACTGTAGCTTGAGTTTTCCTGCCTGGCTCACAGTCAGGACAAATCTGTCACCAGCCAGTCCCACAGCCACTCAGACCCAACTAAGTAAACACAGAGACTTATATTGCTTACAAACTGTATGGCCATGGCAGGCTTCTTGCTAACTGTTCCTATATCTTAAATTAATCCATTTCTATAAATCTATACCTTGCCACGTGGCTCGTGGCTTACTGGCATCTTCACATGCTGCTTGTCATGGCGGTGGCTGGCAGTGACTCCTTCCACCTTCCTGTTCTTTCTTTTCTCCTCTCTGTTAGTCCCACCTATACTTCCTGGCCTGGCCACTGGCCAATCAGTGTTTTATTTATTGACCAATCAGAGCAATTTAACATACAGACCATCCCACAGCAGGCAACAATACTCAGCCTAGATGATTTCATGGGATAGACTTTTTAACAGTTTGTCCTGAGTTTATAATTCCCCTGTCTCTTGTGGCTTTTAGAATCTTTGGTTATTTAACTCCATGCATGATGCAACATTTTCTTCTTAATTCTGGCACCTGTCACTTAAAAGTCCTTAAAGGACCTGTCATTGCAGCCCTCAATGTAACTGCCCATAACTAAGTTACAGCCATACAGACTGGACAAGTTACCTGACTTCAGAACGCCTGCATTCCTTCCCCAGGACTAGGACGTGATTGAGCCGGTCCCTTAGAGCCCTTCTGGCCTCCTTACCATCCCACTCAACTTCAGTAGTTCATCATTTAGGACTATACAGTGTTGGAAGAAAACCAATCTTTACAGAAATTAAGACATGTTTAATTAAAAAAAAAAACCTTCGTTTTACATATACATTTGTTATTTTAAATCATTTCCTTACTCTCGAGAGATGCAGTAATTTCAACAAACACTGAGTACCACACTGTGAATCAGAGGAACTGGCAGAAGTTCAGAGTATGAGCTAAGGGCTCCACAAAGACATAAATTAGACAAACCATGGACTCATCCTGTCACATGATTTGGCTAAGTTCCAAAATTTGGGAATTGGGGAAATAGAAAGATTTCCCCCCCTAAAGTACGCCCTGCAGAGGCAGGATTAACACCTCTCTCATTCTGTTTCTCGGGTAGAAATGTCCACCTCTCTTGATAAGGTGGCACAGGCTGAGAAGATGAGGAGCCCCCAAATACAGGAAGGCCTAAGGAAGAACAGACCCGGCAACAGAGTACCATCACTCTGCTTTGAAATCTACGCTCCCCACTCAAAGTGCATTCTCACCACCTGACACCAGAACCAATATTCAAAACCCAAGCTGGGCACGGCAGCCCATGCCAACCCCAGCACTTGGAAGGTGACTAGATCAGGAGTTCATTCTCGGCTGCAGAGTGCGTTTGAGGCCAGCATGGACACCAGAGGAGATTCGGGATTACAGGGGTTAAATGCTGAGGTCACAGAGCTACAGAGTAGAGACAAAGCTGAGCTTTGCACCAAACCGCACTCTAGAAGCCGTAACCTAAGGAGAAGCAAGATGTGAGTGAACAGACGCCAGCTCACTCTCGCTTGTGCCACACTTGTCACACACTTGTCCCAGCAACCGAGGGAGGGCGAGGGTCACCACGTTACCTGCGTCTGCCTCAGGGCCCGCTCCACTCTCCGAGTGCTTCCTCTCTCAAGCTTTGTCCGCAGGATCAGGGCTGACGTCTGAACGGCCCAGAACTTCGGTTGTGAAAGTAAACACTGATGGAAGGAGGGAGGGCAGAGAAAGAAGGGGTAAGCCAGATACAACTCTTAGAGTTGCCCCCAACCCCCAAAATCACATACCGATAAACGCAGATTTGACAACCTAAGCAAACAAACAAACAAACAAACAAACAAACAAAGCAGAAGAGAGGGGGCGCTCTCATCTTCTTTCAACTCACATTATAGAACATTATTTTAAACTTGGAGAATCCTTTTAGCTGTGGTTAGAGTCCTCCATGTTAGATGTCCTAACTTCAGGCAAAATGCTTTCTTCAAAGGGACATCCTAACAAAACTCACCTACAATGAGACTTAAAATATGCACAGACTGAGACCTAACCGCAGAGAAAGCCACACCAGTCCTCAAACAGAACTCGGGCAGAAACTTGAACTAGAACCAGCAGTGAAAGTTTGGGGGAAACAAAGTGTACAGTGGTAAATGGGGACTGCTTGGCATAATGGGCACACTTTAGTGCAGTCATTTAATGCACACATTTAATCCCTGGGTGGGCATTCCAACAACAACCTTCATTAAGGCTCATTACAGAGAAAGGGGCTTGTTTATCTGTCTGGAAGTTGATGCCATCCTTCACCGCTGTGTGTTGGTTGTTTCTAAACAAGCATTTGCTTGTCTCTAGAAGTCAGGTATGGAAAGCTCCTAGTCAGAATCCAATTAGTCATTCACATCCTGGCTGCTCATTAGGAGCACCTGGGAAGCTTGTAGAATTTTAAAAGTAAATCAGTTTCAAGAAGAAGAGGATCTGGGCATCCATATTTTTTTTTAAGTGCTCCACAGGTAATGCTTAAGTGCAGCCAACTTTAAGAACTATTAGGTAAAAATAATACAAGTTTGTCTCTGGTCAAATTTATCCATTAACTCACAGTGTTCATTAAAGGCTAGCATGAAGACCGTCAAGGAAATATTAGTGGCACCAAAGTCCCTAGAACTCCTCACTGCCCCATGTCCAGCTGGCTCGCTCGCTCACTCACTCACTCACTCACTCTCACAGGATCTGCCTGCCTCTAGAGGCACCTGCTTTCTCCACTCACCACTCACCCTACCCATGAGCAGCTTTGCCTTTTATTTCCTTTCATTAAAAATTAATAATAATAACTTTTTATGTTAGCATACAAATAATGGGTTTCACCAGAGTGGTTGCACACACGTGTGCAATTACAGTGATTCCCCTTGGTTGCTGCCCCACATCTCTCCCCCATGGCCCCATCCTTTGGCTGCCTCCCCTCCTTCCCCAAGACACCCCCTTTTCTGCCTCCTCATCAAGTCTATCTCATCACTCTCCTCCACCCCCTCCCTACGGCTCCCTCCCTTCTCACGATCCTCCTTTGAGTTCCCAGACACCTTAATCTAGACCAGTCTCCCTACGATGAAGAAAACGAAGACAACAGCAAAAGACGACAGTAGTATTCTGTCCCAAGCAACGCTCTGTCATTTGATAAGATTTTCCAAATGAAATTATGCACATTTAAGTGAATAATTTAAGATAATTATCATTCAGAAATTGATGATACTACCAAGTCAGAACTAAAGAACAGAGTAACATTAAAAGAAAAAAATTTCATGCAAGAACCTGAAAGAGGGGACAGAGACACAGAAATGCACGAAGAGAGGGAAAAAGGGATGAGGTCTTCCTGAAGTTTGCTTGTTAATGCACCTGAGCCCTCGCTCTGTGCAGGAACTGTTCACAACAGCTGGACAAGTCAGCAGTCTCTGCACCCAGAAAGCTCCTGCAGGTCCTAAGGCAATGTCCTATTAAATAATTTTCTTCCAAACTCACTTTTGTAACTAAAATGTTTTATCTATTGCTTGAAATATAATTTCTAAGAAAAATGTATAACCTTCTTCTGTTAGCTTCCATTAGCAATCCTACAAAAAGAATGCATTTATCAAGCATAAACAGGAATATTTATCACTATTAACGCCATGAATGACGAAATAGAGACATTTAAAGATGAAGTCCAAGGATATATCAATGCTGAGAATTGAACTCTGTGCCTTATGCATGCAAGGCGAGCATTTTACCACTGAGCCACATCCTAGTCAGAAAAGGAATCCTTTCAAATACACAACACTATTTGGCAGAAGTTTTTATTATTAAACGTGCTCTCCAGAATCTTCAGAGGAAAGAACTCTTCTCAGTAGGTGTATCTGCAAACACCTGGTTCTACCCCTGTAGTCAGTGGCACTGCCAACTGAATTTCTTTTCATCCCATTACTGAGGTTACGATTACTGTAAACTCACAGTAACGAGACAGAAGAGAGCACACACAGCAGGAAGAGTCTTCCAAATCAGCCAAGCCCTGGGAAGTTGTTTCCTCCCCTCTAAAATGAGACCCCCACACTTCTCAGAAGTGTGAACCTGAAATAAATATGAACAGTGGGGCTTCGGAAACCTACGAGAGCAGCCCCTCTGAGAGGCACCTCTAGACCCCACGGCCTCTCTTCCTATGCTCTTAGCTAAAGTGCAGAAAGTCACCCCCCTCCCAACCGCTCCATGAGTTTGCCAACAAGAACAGTGTGTGCAGAACAGAGAGGCTCGGGGATGCACCCACTCAATGGTTTACAGACCATAGGCTTGAGGACAGGGCTCTGCCTTTGACGTGCATGTGCTGTTTCACTAAACACTGAAAGCAGAATGCCATCTGACAAATGGACGTTTCAAAGGCTTTGAAAGAGGGATGGAGCAGACATGGTGGAAGTGAAGAAGGTGATTCCCCTCCCAAGAGGAAACTGCAAACTGTAGACAGCACATTGCAGGAAGCACTGCCATGAGGTAAGAATCACTCCTAAACCAGGCAGTGGTGGCGTAGTTACTCTATAGGGAAGTTTCACAAGGCCCCACCCCTAAATGAAGAGTCATAGGCAATCAGTATCTGCCATGAGAAAGAGAAATCAGGTTTCTCTAGGGATGATCCCGACAGGTTATCCAATCCCAAGTAGTCACCCTAAAGACATGTACATAGGAGCAACACTAAACAGACTCAGTAGGTTGTACATGATGTGTATGTACATATACATAACAATAATAATTAATGAACAGGTCATGAATTTGAGAGGGAGCTGGGGGCATAGAAAGAGTTGGAATGAGGAGGGAGAATATAAATGATATACAGTACTTACATATGGAATTCTCAAAGTTACTAATAAAAACCAAAACAACAAAAAACCCACCCAGATTATAGGGGTATGTCTTAGCAGTACAACATTTGCACAGCATACCCAAGGCCCCAAATTCAATCCCCAGAGGTGGGGGGGGGTTAAATTTAAATTTGAAACTCACAAATGTTTTTAATAGCATTCCCTAGCTAGCACTCGGAATATTCTCGAGCAAGAATCCAGTCCTGTAAACGACAAGTAGCTGCTGCTGTGAACGATGTTTATTACTATAAATCAGATCATCTGCAGCTTAAGCACGCACTGTGGAGTAGCCCAGAAATTTAAACTCATTTTTCTTTAAGACAGTATGTTCTTACAAGCTGCTTGAAAACCAATCTATCCTGAACTGGCACAAAACAGGAAAACATACTGAAACTGACCTGGGTACCTGTCGAAATTCTGCATTAGCTCCCTTGAGAAAGATGTCTGTCACTTTTAGAGCTCATTTTTCTCACCCAAATGATGAGAGGACCTCATCTAAGAATGCTTTCAGCTCTGAAAAATGTGTTTTTCTAAAATTCCATCTGTTCTGTGGCAAATGACAATACAGAAAGGTTCCAAATAATTCACGATGCTTTGTAAAGGGATCAGTTGATAGAGTGCTGGCCTAGCACCCACGATGCTGTATCTGAGCTGCAGCATCACGTAAACAAGAATGACAGCACACATCTGCACTCCTAGCACCCAGGAGGCAGAAGGGTTGGGAGTTCAAGGCCAGCCCGAGTTACATGAGACCCTGTCTCAAAACCAAATTCTTCCCTAAACTAGCCTGAGTCCCTCTACTTTGCCAGCCATTGCTTATGCACCCGTTAATGAGTGGAATCAAAGACTAAGATGTTGTAGTTATAAGGGGGGAAAATGGATGAAATTTAGCTGACTTTACATTTATGCCATGTCCAAAATCCCAATAACACCATAAACCCATGCTTTCCTTTGTTGAATTTTTTTTTTTTTTTTGTATCCTGAAGTAAGCTGAATTCAATTATTTTGGGTTTCACATATACTGACTGTAGATGTAACCAACCGTCTTATTAAATAAGAAACATAGAACCAATGTAAAAGAGAAAGCCAAGAGGTCAGAGCTCAGAGCTAAAATCTCACCCTTTCTCCTGCGGTGTCCCAGCTTCCCGAAAGAGAGCTATTTCCCTGTGCGTAAGTCGTTTCATAGTCATTCTGCCATCTCATTGGTTGTAAACCCAAACACGTGACTGCCTCGTCACTGTCTGTATGTACAGCCCCCCACCCCCCCAAGTCTTAAAGGCATATGTCTCCAATGCTGGCTGTATCCCTGAACACACAGAGATCTATGGGATTAAAGGCATGTGCTACCACCGCCATGCTCTGTCTATGGCTCTAATAGCTCTGACCCCCCGGCAACTTTATTTATTAACATACAATCAAAATCACATTTCAGTACAATTAGAATACCACCACAACTGACTATCTCACAGAGTTCATTAATGTTCAAAAGAAGTGGTAGAAATAGTTGAGAAAAGCTACTTGTTCAAGTACCCAAAACGGTAAAGATACGGATTTTACAATTGTGAACTGGCTCAGAGGCTGGGCATGGAACTCAGTGGCTTGTGATGCGTGAGCCTTGGGTTCAGTCCCTACTCCCGAAACAAACACTTGCTATTCATATAGTCCAGTTTATCATTTTGATGCTTAGAACTTTATTAGCCTGCTCAGCTCTCCTAAGGTCTCCTGCACTTGACCTCTCTGGCTTTAGAGTTTGGCCTTTTATTTTTATATAGTAGGTCTGTCTGCGTTGATATATTTTTTTTTTAAATGTGGTATGGTCCGGGGTTAGATGCCTGCTCTGT